CCCTTCGGCGTCGCACCGCCCCCACCGCCCCGACCACTTTATTTCGGCGTCGTCGCCCCCCCCCCCCGGATGCCCAGTGCCCTTCGTCGTCGCACCGCCCCCTCCGCCCCGACCACTTTATTTCGGCGTCGTCGCCCCCCCCTCCCTCCCCAGCTGCCCAGCGCCCTTCGGCGTCGCACCGCCCCCTCCGCTCCGACCACTTTATTTCGGCGTCGTCGCCCCCCCCCTCCCCAGCTGCCCAGTGCCCTTCGGCGTCGCACCGCCCCCTCCGCCCCGACCACTTTATTTCGGCGTCGTCGCCCCCCCCCCAGCTGCCCAGTTGCCCTCGGCGTCGCACGCCCGCGCCGCCCCGACCATTTATTCGGCGTCGTCGCCCCCCCCCTCCCCAGCTGCCCAGTGCCCTTCGCGTCGCCACGTCCCCCCGCCCCGACCACTTATTGCGGCGTCGTCGCCCACCATTCCTCCCAGCTGCCAGTCCTTCGCGTCGCACGCCCCTTCCGCCCAGCAAATTATTCGGCGTCGTCGCCCCCCCCCCTCCCAGCTGCCCAGCGCCCTTCGGCGTCGCACCGCCCCTCCGCCCGACCACTTTATTTCGGCGTCGTCGTCGCCCCAACCCCGATTCCTCCACCATCCCATCCCCCCCAGCAGGCCAGCGCGCCGCCCTTCGCCGACCATTTATTTTCCCGGGCGTCCGCCCCCCTCCTCAGATGCCCAGTGCACGTCGCGTGCCACCGACCCCCAGGACCCGACCAATTATTCGCGTCGTCGCCCAACCCCCGGCGGCCCAGTGCCATTCGTGGACGCCGCACCGCCCCTCCGTGTCGAATACTCATTTCGCGTCGTCGTCACGTCGTCGCCCCCCCCGATCCCCCCCCATCCCACCCCCCCCAGCAGCCCAGCCGGCCCGCCCTCTCGCACCGACGCTTCCTGCTGGCGTCGTCGTCGCCCCCCCCTCCCTTCCCTTTCCAGCAGCGGCACGCCCTCGCCGCCCCCCTACCTTATTTCGGCGTCGTCGTCGCCCCCCCCCCCTCTCCTCTGCCCAGCAGCCAGCCGCACCGCCCCCATCGCCCGACCACTTTATTTCGGCGTCGTCGTCGCCCCCCCCTCCCCCATCCTCCCCACCAGCCCAGAGCGCCGCTCCTCCGCCCGGCCGTTTATTTCGGCGTCGTCGGCGCCCCACCTGTCTCCCTCTCCAGCAGCGGGCGTCGTCGTCGATCACCCCACCTCCCCTTCTCTCCAGCAGCTGCCATGCACGCCCCCCCAGCCCGACCACTTTATTTCGGCGTCGTCGTCGCCCCCCCCCCTCCCTCCCACTCTCACCAGCATCCCAGCACACCGCCCCCTCCGCCCCGATCGCCTTATTCTCTTGCACAGCTGTGCTCGAGAGCTCGGACATTTTTATTTTCGTCGTTCGTCGTGTCGTTCGCCCCCCTCGCTCCCCCCCCTGTCCACGCTTCCCAGGGTAGCCCCCCTGGGCCACGGAACCCTTTATTTTCGTCGTTCGTCGCGTCGTTCGCCCCCCTCGCCCCCCCCCCGCCCCCCTCGCCCCCCCCCCTGTCCACGCTTCCCAGGGTGCCCCTCGCCCCCTCCCCTGTCCACGCTTCCCAGGGTAGCCCCCCTGGGCCACGGAACCCTTTACTTTCGTCGTTCGTCGCGTCGTTCGTCCCCCTCGCCCCCTCCCGTCCCCGTCGCCCCCCCCCCCTGTCCACGCTTCCCAGGGTAGCCTTCCGGCTCTTGGGGAACCACTGAGGCACTCTTGGCCGAGGCCTAGAAACAAAACCAGGCCAGGCCCAGAAATCGTCGTCGTCGTCCTCCTCCTCCGCTTTCTTCCTGGATCCTCCTAAACCCCTCCTGGAGGAAGGAGGCGAGGGCCTCCTGTCCTTCGCAGCTCCTTTGTGCAAGAGCCAGGGCACGCGTGCCACTTGTTGAGGCGTTCCGTACGTAATGTTAAGTCGGGCCTGTCCCTCTACAGGGGGAGTATTCAAAAATAGTCAGAAGATCGTATGGGGACGATTTTTTGAAATTTTGTTTTTGCACTTTTGTTTTTTTGAGCATTTTTAATTTTCCGCCCAAAATCACCCTGTAGGGGGACAGGCCCGGCCTAACCGTAACGAGGGCCTTTTTGTGTGTAGGCCCGCCAGCGATGCCGGCCGCTCTTCGGGCCTACCCCCGGAGGTCACCATCACCCCTCCGATGCACGCGAACGTGCACTCCAGGACCGAGCTCCCCGCTGGGGGAGGGCTCTCTTCCTCCTTCCCGTCGTGATCCTCCTCCCTGTCTTCGAGTAGGGGATCGACTACAGAAATGATCTACCTCCAAATTGATCTCCCCCGTGTAATCTACGACGATTACGTCGAATCTTCGTACGTAAATTTGGAATTCTGAATATGCTCCGTAACTTCGACGAGAAAATCAAGTTTGGGGAAAACCAATTCCGTAATCGATCCTCTACTAGATGTCTTCCGTCCCCTTTTTGGTTCACCTGGTTCACTTTCAGAGGTTCTCCGCTCTGTCTGAAGGCGGACAGAGACCCAGACTATTGTCATGTTTTGAGTTCGGCGTGTTGTGCCCGATGGAGCTGATGTGCGGCACGCTTGTTAACAGAGCCGCTCAGAGGCTATAATTGTCAGAAAAATGCAGCGCAGCGGATGATGCCCAGAGTGGAGGGGCAGGGAGAAATGTCGGAACAGGGGGAGGATGAGGGGGAGGTCGGCTAGTTCAAGAAGAAAGTACTAGTGGCCGCCAATTGAAGGAGGAACAACTACATACACCTGCGTCTATATATATGTATATATGTATATATGTATATATATATATTATATATAATATATATATATATATATATATATATATATTCACGACTGCATTGGCGCTTCGCGCCATGCATCTCGGTCCGTGAAACTTGTAAACAGATAATTTAGCGATACCGTCATGTTGCTTTTCCCGACATCGCCGCTACAACAATGTTATTCATTATCTTTCGCTCATGGTTTTTGTTCCTCTTCCTCCTTCTCCTCCTACCCTACGAATTCTTCCCCATCCTCCCCAGCTCTTCGTGCGGAGGCTCCTCCGCGGAGAGCCTCTTAGGGGCCTCGCGACAGTTTTTAAGGGCTTCTTGGGGCCTTCTGGTGGCCTCCTGGGCGCCTTCCGGGGGCCCCTGGGGGCTTCTTCGAGCTGCCCTGCTTCCAAGCGCGGTCTCCCTGAACGACCGGGTCACGACTTGGAATGCTTCGGGGGGCGTTTTGGGACTATCTCGGGCTGTCATGGGGCTCTCTTCGGACCATTTTGGAACCCTGTTGTGCCATCTTGGGTTCTCTTGGACTGCCCAGAAGCGTTTTCGGATAGTTTTGAGGCGATTTTTGGGATTCCTGGGAGGTTTCGGACGCCCGGAAGACGGAAAAGCAGAGCATCCCACAATAAAAAATCAATGTTTTTCTGCGTTTCGAAAGCCTCTTGGGGTTCTTGTTTGGGTCGTCTTCGGGCGTCTGCAGGGTATCTGGGGCCTCTTGGGGTCCTCTGGGGGCCGTTCGGCCGCCCTCCTGACCGACATGGGCCCGTTGCCTAGACCAAGCAGGGTCTTCGAGGAGCTCCAGAAAGCTTAGAAGACCCCCCAGACCCTCCGATATCATATTATATTAGATTATTTCATTTTGCATTAATGCTAATTGCAGTATATGATATATGATCGTCTGTGGTATCTCGTAGCAGATTTCAATGTATAGTGCAATGACAAATTTAACCATATCCAAGTATATTATAGTATGTGGTATTATCCGGTAGTTGTATCATAGGTGTGCTTTTTTAATTCATATATCATGTAGTATAAGAGTATACCATAGTGCGTATACTATGAATGCGTATTTGGTTACTTCCTTTTGTTGTTTTTTTCTTTTGTATGGTGATATAGTATATTGCATACTGTGTCTATTACTTGGTGTACATGGCGTCCTATCTTATTGTATCCATTACGCCACATCGTTTCTTTTATATAACATGGTGTAGTATGTCATATCGCACTCTATTGTAATTCGATGCCATTTCCTAGTGCATGCTCTCGCATACTGTCATCTGAAAGTTCGGAATCTCATTGTATATTTTGTTATGCCTTAGTCTAGCGTCGCATCATACTATGATGCAGTATTGTGTACTGCATGTTCGTATTTTCTTATAGGATGTGGTATCATCTTAGATTGTTTAATGCTGTTTGTGGTCGTTCTCATATTATGTGCTGTACTCGTATATGAGGTTCTGTATCCGCATATCATACAATGTGGTATTATATTATATAACATGTTATTCCATAGGCATTATGTATAATGTCACACCATGAGGTATCATTTTCATACCAGATGGCATTGCACTATACAGTATTACGTTGTACCGTATGATGCTGTATTCCACCTCTGTACCTTATACGGTAAGCACATCCTGCTATGCTGAGATTTCTGATATACTATATGTTTTGTTATAGTTATATATCTATATATGTATCTCAGTTGTATTTCACATTCCGTCAATATATATACATAAATATGTTGTTTTAGTGTACGGTTTCAGATGTGTATTCGTATATATTTACATTTTAGCATGCTTAGATAGCAGAGAAATCCCGAAACGGCTTACAAGTAGACGATCATATCAGAGTACCTAATAGCAGATCGAACAACTAGATATAACAAGTATTTTGTTCGTTAAGGATATGATCTAGTATATGCGGCCATTTTAATATTCCAGTATCATCTGAAGATACATTGCATGACATATTATTACATTGCATTAAGTTGTACAGTGCCACACCTTAGTATACGCTATTATAGTATATTGTATTATATAGTGTTGTTGTTTCTCATCATCATGGTAGTATACTGTCCAATCGTATTCTCCATTCTTTCATACCACATTTTATTCTCGAATACTATGGTATGCGATGCTCTACTTTATTTAACGCCATATATGTAGTACATGTAATATATGTGGACTATGTATTATTTATTAGATATATACATGTATGTATGTATGTGTGTGTATGTATGTATGTATGTATGTATGTATGTATGTATGTATGTATGTATGTATGTATGTATGTATGTATGTATATGTATATGTGTATGTATGTATGTATGTATGTATGTATGTATGTATGTATGTATGTATGTATGTATGTATATATATATAATCTATATATATATATATATATATATATATATATATATAGAACTGACCGGGTTCGTCCAGTGAGCCTGATTCAGGAGCGCCCCAGGAGGGCCCAAGACGGCCCCAGATGGCCGCAGTACGGCCCCAGAGGGCTCCACGAGGCCGCAGGAGGGCCAGACGAGCGCCCCATATGGCCACGATGGGTCTCAAACGGCCCAAGATGGCCCAAGATGGCAACTCCATGGCCCAACGGGCTCCCCAGATGGCCCAAGGAGGCCCGAAGACGACTCCCAAGAGGCCCCCGGGAGGCAACAATTATTGGTTTTCCGTAGGTTTCGGTGCAATTTTCGCATATTCGGCATCTCGGTATCGAGATCGCCCGAGACTGCCGAAGAGGCCCCCTAGATCGCTCCAAGATGGCCCAAGAGGGCCCTAAGACGAGCCCAGGACGGCCCAAGAGGGGCGCAAGACGGCCCCAAGGCTCTCCAAGATGGCCCCTGGAGGGGATCCAGACGGCCCATGAGGGCCACAAGACATTCCATCTGGGCCCCCAGACGGCTCCAGAACAGCCACAAGAGGCCCCCAAGATTGCCCTGACGGGCCAAGGCGGCCCTGGAGGGCCCCAAGACGGCCCAGGAGGCCCCCAGGACGGCTTGAAAACGGCTTCGATAACTTTTGGGATGTCCGCGTCGATTCTTTGGATCGGCGCTGGGCCCTCTGTGGCACGCGGAGCGCGCCTCCGATGGTTTCTGTCTGTGTGGTTTCTAATGCTCTCAGTAAGACCTCCTCGTCGAGAACTGCGGTGCGCACGAGCGAATCGGGTATGGCCAGGACCCCAGGTAAGGGGACCCGGTTAGTGGTAGGGCCCCGGAGCCTTTGAAGTGGCCAGAATCACTGAACCAGGTTCGCCATAGCCTTTGTTCTTTCGGGTGACGGCAGTTCCCGTTCGTGGAAAGGGGACGGGGGGGGCGCTCCCGGTACAAATCACTAAACTAGGTTCCACGAAACCCAGTTCTGCCAACGCCCGAGCGAAGTGGCGGCCGCCGTTCGGTGGGTTTTTGGTGCAATCACGCGGCGGCCACGCCGGCGCGGGCTGTCAGGGTGGAAGGCCGCCGGCGGCCGGAGCCAGGCCAAGGGGCGCGGTTTCCGTTGTCGAGAGGTGGAGGTTGCTCAAGGATAATCGATCTACGCCCAAGTCGGGCGTGTCCATCTACAGGAGGAGTTTTTGAAGTAGTCAAGAAGTAGTCTTGGGACGTTTTTTTTTTTTTTTTTTTTTTTTTTTTTTTTTTTTTTTTTTTTTTTATCTCTCTCTATTTTTCATGTTTCCTCCACCCTCCGCCTGTAGGAGGACATGTCCGGCTTAAATCTACGCCGTTTCGCACCCGAGCGTCCGCGTCGTCGCGATAGGCACCAGGCTGCAGCTGTGCTCCAGGGCACCAGCAGGAGCGCGAAGTCATCTGCGCGCTCTTCGTGCTGGCAAGCGCATAGTTCGGCAGCAAGCCATGGGAGCCCGGTGTACCCTTTTTATTCAGTCTTTAGCGTCGATTAGCGTCGATTTGCGTTTGGGAGTCGATGAGATAGCGCGCGTCGGTTCGCGTCGATGAGCGTCGATGTAGCGTCGATTTAGGGTCGATTTAGCGTCGAATAGCGTCCATGAGCGTCGATTCGCGAGAGCCGACCAGATGGTACGGGAGGCTCCCGTGAGCTGCCACCGAGGCATAGTCGCGCTGCTCGCGTGAAGCGAGAGCGCGAGTGTGAGTGGGCTGCTTCAGTTCGCATCCCCAGCACAGCCGAAACGGTCTGGGGCAAAAGCCTGGCCCTGGCCAGTATCGTTTATCCGACCCCCATCCCCATCCCCATCTCCTTCGAGACCCCCACCAAATTACCCCCCCAGTTGGGGATACACCCTCGAAACCCGAAGGGAACGGCCTACATCCCCATCTAGGGGGGTAAATCGGCCAGTGGGGCCCAGGCCACGCCGCTGGGGATGGGGATCGGTGAAACGATACTCACCTGGGGAAGCGTCCGAGAGTTCTGGGGACCCGTCGCGAGCAGCTCGTGCGCCGAAGGCGTTCCGACGCACGGCGCGGGTCACCGACTTGGCAGGGGTGACCCTCGTCGCGGGGGGATTCGCCCCACGTCTTTCACGAGACGCAGGGTGCGACAGAGTCGTGTCGTCCGGAGGCGGCGAAGACCCCAGCGCGGGAGTTCAAGGTGTTCCACCTCGCCGCAGGCCCAGATTTGGCCGCCTCGGAAGAGCAGAACGCCGCGAGATTGCCCCAGGTCGAACTCGGCGGCGAGCGGGGCGGGGGAAGCGAGAAGGGGCGGCCTTTTCTCAGAGAGCTCGGAAATCCCTGGGCCCTCTCAGGAGTTCTAGACGCGAGAAGCGTATCGGAAGGCGCGAGGGCTTCTGAGAAGGCTCGCCGCCTTCGGAGAAGGCCTTCTCCGTGTCACTTCCCCCTCGCTCGCCGCCGACGCACGATCCACACGGCCGTCGGAAGCCAATGCCAGGTCGTCACGACGCGGACCTGCCGTGGGTACCCCGGCTCACCGAGGATCTCTCGCCTCCGGCCTGGCCGCCCCCTCTGGCTCTAGGCTCTCCAGGCCTCCCAGAGGGGGTCCGGGCAGATGGCGTCGGAGGATCGCTGGTGCATCGCCGATGCACCAGCGATGTGGCTCGATGGGGTGGAGACCGATTGTCTCCACGCCAACGTTCGAATGCAACTCCTGCGAGGTCAAATTCTGACTCTGCCCTGGTCCGAAATCCGGCTTGAACCTGTTTCATTTTGCTGAAAAACCCTTATTCGGGCTTATATCCCGCTCAATCCCGCTTAATCCGCGGCCTAATCCGGCGTAGCAGCCGCGCAATGGGGCTTAATTCTCCCTTATCTTTCCGACGAAGATTTCCAGCAGTTGTCTCCACGCCAACGTCGCCGATGTATCGCCGACGTCGCCAGGTCCTTGCCGATGCACTGGCGCTGCATCGGCGAGGCGGCGCGGTCCTCCGACCCCATCCGGGAGGCGCCTCTGCCTGGCGGGCTCCCGCGCCGCCTCGCCCGCGGCCGGAGTGCGATCGTCTCGAAGCTGCGCTACTCCAAGACGTTCACGCAGGAGGTGGCCGAGCGGCTCAACTTCGTCGGTGGCATCAAGGCCTGCCCCTGGCGGGCCCCGCGCTCGCCGCCGCGGAGGAGAGGAGAAGGGTGCCCCGCGGGAAACGGATCCCAAGAGTCGGGGGAGGACAGCTGCGGTCGGACCGAGGCATGAGATCGAAGTCGGCTCGGGAAACGTATCCAAATGAGTAGTTCGTGCTCTCTCCCCGCTCGCTCTGTGCCGCCGCCCGCTGCCGACGCCGCTGCCCCGCAGCAGTTTGCTCAGGATCAAGACAGGCCGCGCGCCGCCTGGGCGCGGGAGAAAGGGTGAAAGGAGTAGATCTTGTTATAGTTATGATTCTCTTATATCTTGCTTCATCATTCCTGTGTGTCCGTATAACCGCTCAACGGATCCATCGTGAACTTTTCGACGCATGACATAACAAGATCCGTCAACCCCACTCTTTAAGAGAGCTGTGATTCTTTGGTGAATCAATGGTTGTCCGCCGAAATGGCCGAAAACATCAGTGATGGACCAAACGCGCTGACGACTGTAGTCAGTCCCAACGACGCGATTGTTCATATGGGAGATATTCGTGCTCACGTGAGAAAGCCAGTCGTAGACTATTTGAATGGCATTCCTCCAGGTGTACAAGTTTTCTCGTGACTACGCGCTCCTCTGGTTCCTACCGTGGGCAGGGATCCAACGTTTGTACAACCTTTACAAGAAGGGGATGGCATGCCACGTGATGTATCTTCGGTTTTCAAAAACATATACGTTATGCCTGACATCCAAGCGGTCCATATAGTTTCCCAATCAGAACTTGAAAGAAGTCGCGCAGGGGAAGCACTTGGGCCAGAGCGTCACAAATCACCACAAAACGAAGTAATGGATAGGCGTTCCCCAAATGTGATCCCTGAGAAGGCGGAGTTTTTTTCTTTCAGGAATGCACGACCGCCTATTGAGGGTCAGAGCCGCAGGCCATTACTTACCTCAACTTCGACTCGCCGTTACGGCGGAAAAAAGGATGGATCTCCTTGTCAAGGTCGCCTTGATCATTTAGGCCGCGTCCCAATTCCAGGAGCAGTGTAGAATCCTGCTGGGCATCTTCAGCAGGCGTTTCAGTCAAAGACGGATGAGTGGCCAAAGCTCCAGGAAGCCATCCCATTGCTGATAATAGATGTCCTGGAAAGGCACGCAGGCCAGACGGATCGTGTCCAAAACCCGTTTGCTCTGGATGCTCGCATACTTGTCAATATTGCAATATCAATTGGCAATGCTCTGAATGCCTGGACATGAAAGCACAACTGCCGTCACCTTGCATTGTTGGAATGGCAACAGGCAGAAGCGGAAAAGAGGCGGGTGAAGGATAAACAATTGCGGAAAGAGCTGGCTGCAAATGTGCAGGCTACCATATCTGAAAAAGGACTATAATCGGACAGTGTGCAAGGAATCTGTTCTTCAACATGCAGCCCGACAGGCACAACCGAATCAGACTGATACTTCGGAAACAGCATGCAGATCTCTGTCAGAAGCCGCGCAACTCAAACATGAGTCTGACCAACTAATTGAACTAAAACCCCAAGAGACAGAGCGCCGACAGACAGGGGAAATGGTTGCGAAGGAGGCACACATGAAGCAGATGGTGCCTCTCGCCGAACAAGATTTTAGAGAACCCCACAGATCGGCAGAGAGCGTGCTGCAAGAAAAACAAATTCAGGCTGATGGCGTGATGCAGCACACGAGGGAAGAAACCAAATCGATGGTGCACCAGATGAGCACCCGGGAACAGCAGGCTGTCAATCGTGCAGAACAAGCAAAGGCAGAAACACAATTGGTAAGTGAGGACCTCATGCGCCTGAAGAAAACGCGTAATAATTTATTTACGCTGCAAGAATTCCGTGGTGCAGTCAAGCCTGAACCCATCGTGGCCCCGGCTGCCATAATGACACACATGATCATATCTTATTCAGGAAATGGCAGGATGAGTGGAACGCCCAGCTTCAGGGGCCAGGGGCCTCTTCCCACCGCGCTCCTGAAACAAGACTTCAATTACGCGTTGCAGCGGTTTCGGGTAACCCATTGAAGTGCCATTTTTGCAGTGACCGCAAGATGGTAGAGTGTATGCAATGTTCTACGCCGTGCTGCTATGGTCACTTTGATCCTGTAGCGAGGCGCCTCAGACACTGCGCTCGAGGTGAAGCCGAGGCTGACGCAGAAGCATAGAGAAGAAGTCAGGAGGAAGAGCGCTGGCGTTCGCGACGCTGGGAAGGGCAAAAGTGCCTGGCAAACGTTTGCAAACCGCAAACTTAATGAGCCCGTGTAAGGAACGCGAAGCATGGGATAAGTCTAAACGTGATCATGCAATCGAAAAGGTGGCCAAACCGCTTGACTTGGTAGCAGTAGAACACAGGCAGCCAGAGCAGGTGGGAAATCCATTGTAGGCGATCCGGGCATTTCCCGAGTTCCTTAACCGACCGAAGAATCCTCGTACACATTGCCTACTGGGTCGGAAGACCACTCCGGCCGACCAGGTCCATCCGACGGCTCAGCTGGCGGAGGAGGCGGCGGCGGGGGTGGGCCTCCCAGGGGGTGGGGGGGGTGGCGATGGCGGGGGGGGGGGGGGGGGGGGGGGCGGTGATGGAGGTGGCCGAGGACTTAGAATTTATCCCATGTATCTCTGGAAGCAGAGAAGCAAAACGTCGGAGACTAAATCGATGCCAACCCCCGACGCAAATGCTCGGCGTGAATGGAAGTTGCACGCTGCCAGGGCAATTTCATCAGTTACGTCAGATGTGCCAGGTACTATGCCGTGGATTGTACAGGCCATGGGCCTTGAGAAAGATGCGAGCGTTCTGCAGAATTCTGGCAGATACGAGCGCGTCGACGTGCTCATTGTCTCTGATCTCATTGAGAAATTTGCTAAGATGCGACAGAAGAAGAAAATGGCCCCTTCATCAGGTTCTTCTCATTGCTCGGGTGTCTCGAATGGAAGTGGAGGCGCGCAGTGAATCTCTTTTGCTTACTGGCCGTGAGATGGCGCGCTTGATGTGTCGATGGCTCTCGCGATTTCTACGGCGAGTGGATGTGTTTGTAAAGTGATGTATGTTATCGCTCTGGCCCATCGCTGGAAGCTGCAGCAGTTATTCGTGAGCGTTTTTGCGAACAAATGAAATTGGTGCCCGACGTGAAATTGACCATCGCATATTGCGACGTGTGCAGCGGCCCGATCGGATCGGATGTTGAGGCAACGTTGGCAGTTGCAGAAGATCGTGGAAAGGGGGGGGGGGGGGGGCGACTACCACCTTGTATGTGATGAGAAAGCGCCCAACAAAAGAAGCCGCCCCGGCCGCGTCGCCGCCGCTCCAGACCCGATCGATCCGAGGAAACTGGGGCAACCCACGGACAAATTGAATAATGGAAAGAGGAAGAAAGACGTCCCATGTGGATATTTGGAACAGGGCGGATCTGTCAGTGCAAAAAGCAGGGGTGTCCGTTAAACCGCGAGAAACTTGCAGCGGGCCCTGCGAGGCCGCCCGTCTTGGAGAAGCGCAACAAAAGGATGGGTGAGGGCATCGGAGACGGGCCATCTAATCCGGGGCCAAGGGCGACAGGGGCTCATCCAAGGGTCCTACTAAGGAACAACGACAGAAATTGGTTTGTTTCGCATTCTCGAGATGCGCATGTCGCGGCAAACAACATGATCCTCCTGGCAGCAGAGCGCATGGGGTACTGACTCCTAAGGAATTATTAAAACTTTGACACATGGGGGCAGGCGGCGCAGGCGAATGGCAAGACGACATGCGAACGCACGCAGAAACAATCCGGATCTGCAGCAGCCAACGCGGCCGAGGGATTCTCCGCGGCTACTTCCGACGCTGGTAGGTAGCGAGAAGGGCAGTCCGAGGAGCGCCGGCAGCAAGGGTGGCGGCAAGGGTAATGGCAAAGCACCTTGCTGGTATTGGATAGACAAGGGCGAGTGCTCCTTCGGCGCCAAGTGTCGATTCCGTCTTATGCCCCAGGGCGCCCGTGAACGGTTCCCGCAGCTTCATGGCTGCGCTGCCTGCTCGCCGGGAAACGCTGATCACGCGTCTATCAGTGCTGTGGCTGTGACCACGATTATGTCTATCTGCGTGTTTTTTTGCATTCGCGCGCACTCGACGACGCAGGCGGAACCGTCGCAGTTGCCGGCCCCGCGTGAAGAACCCATGTTATGGTCATGCTGCTTGTCCAGCGCCGTTCAAAATTTGGTGCGCGCTCCGAAGCGCCAGTGTTTGTTGACGAGAACCGTTTTTGCAGCGGTGTTATCCTTCTAGAACCCGCGCCGTGCGTGGGGTACCTCGAGGGCGTGGTAGCTTCATTCAGCGCCGGTCACTATTTCGGACGTGACTGACAGAGTGGGCCCTTTGCTTTCTGTGCTTAATACCGTTTTGCCAAGTGAAGCCAGTCAGACTATGTATGGTATCTGTCTTGGGCCGGGTGATGATGGCAATGGTGGCGACGACGATGATGCTGACGACGATGGCGATGACGATGGTGTTGCTGATAATGATGGAGATGCTGATGATGCTGATGCTGCTGACGACGATGGCGATGCTGAGTCTGATGCTAATAATGGTGATGGTGACGGTGATGATGATGGTGATGGCGGTGATTGTGATGATGATGCAGATGCGGATGGTGACGGTGATGATGATGGTGATGGTGGTGGTGGTGGTGCGGGGAAATCCAATCAAAGATGGCCCTTCAATCAGAAGCTGCAGTTTCTGGGGCCATTCCCAAGGCCTGTCGGCTCGAAAACGAGGTTTGGGCATTGTAGCGAGGATGGGGGAATGAGACCGAAGGCGACGCGGCCGTCGGGAATCGAAGGAATGACCACGTCAGCCTAGGACCAATGCGTTTTATTGCTGACACTGGGTGTGTATCCAACCTCATCGCTGAGCGGTGTATTAGGAGTGCCAAATCTATGGATGAAATTAGGAAGCTCTTCCCCGGGGTTATCTCAAACGCTGCTGGGGTCTCTAGCGCGGCCCTGCGTTCAGCTGGCGCGGCGTGCAGTAGATGTCAATATGGCCATTGCGAAGCGCTCGTGATGCGCGAAATTGCGCTGTCTGTTGGGGGGCGACGCATGGATCATGTAGTCAGCTTTTATTGGCCTGCGCGTCAAGCCCCATCATCACTCCTGCCTGAGGGGCAGAGGTTTAACTTGGCAGTTGCTGGGCATGTACCGTGCCTTAAATTGTCATGTCGAGAGGCTTTAGCTCGATGGGGCTGCGCAGTCGCTCAGGGCGCTGTTGCTCTCAAGAGATGGGCACGCGTGATGCTGGATG